ATATATATATATATATATATATATATATATATATATATATATATATACACTAGCTATATATATATATATATATATATATATATATTGTATATATATACATACATACAGAATGTCCGGTAATTTTTGACAATGTTGAAGTATAAAGATAGATTGGCTTAAATTGAAAAGAAAAGTTACGTACTATTTTGCAAAAATTGCAATATAGTTATTGCGTTATTAACTAAAACGTCTGAGCAAATGAGAGCATGAGAAGCCGTATGCCGGACTCAAGGAAACCTCGCAAACTCGAAAATTTTGATTTTAATAAAACTTCCCAGACATGTAAGGGGTGTAAAAAGAAGAATTTAGATATTTTTTGTAGTTGCCCAAAAACGGTTTACAATAATCTTTTTAAAATAAGCATTGCCTATTTGATATTTATAATATTTTAAAATATAACATTTAATTTTAGAGCTCAAAATTATTATAAGCGGAACTTGCTGTCAATAGTAGCGGCAAGCACAGTAGGACTTATAATAGTATTTGCAGTGGAGACAATACTAAAGGTATTAAAATTTTATATATTTTACAATATATACATTTGTTAAAATAACTATAAATAATTGAGTTATTGTATAGTAATCTAGATTCTTAATTTTTTCATATTTCGATGTAATCGTAATCTCAGCATAAAGAAAATTTGTTGCAAGAAGTAAAAATATTATTTATCGAGGGTTTTTTTGTTCCCTTAACAGGTACTCTTGTGCACAAAAAGAAGTAGTTCGACCTGTTTGGCTTTTAAGAGATATGTAGAAACTCTGCAGCATCTACACAACATATCTACGTGCGATCCAGCTGATACCAATTCCAAGTAAGTTTCTTCAAATCATATAATTATTACTCATATTTCCCAGGTCTTTATTATTCACGATACAAACAAAAAACCACAAGTAATTTATTCTTGAAACGCAATCACATCTCGATCTATATTAATATGTAAATTATGTATATGCAAAGCACGTTGGAGATTTATATACAAAGAAGAATAAAGAAACTACAGCACATAATGATTTTACTTGATCTCTTTGATCTCGCGATCGAAATAGATATTATATAACATAAGTATCATTATGATATTGCGTAGTAACCAAAGATGTGCATTATTTGAAATAGATTTGAAATAAAAATACAAAATAAAATGCTGATTTTGTATTTTGCATTTAAGATACATTTTTTCAAAAACTATTTTAAATTTCCATTTAAATGGTTTTCATTGCCCATTTTTTATTTCATATGCATTTTTCTTCCAAATTAAAAATCGCGACATCAGTAACACTGTTTAACAAAAAAAGTGCACAAGAACAAGAATTAAGTTAAGTTTGAATAACATAATTAAAAAATATTTCAGATACTTAATGGCTATGTAAGACGCAACTTGTTCTTCTGAAACCATTCACTTCTAAACAGCATTGCAATCAAAATATAATATCAAAAGAATAATTAAATGTCTGTAAACAAAATGTAGGCAAACATTTTTTGAATATGTAAATGTTTATAATTCAATTTTTGTAATTTAAGTTTATATTAAAAGAAATAAGAATTTAAGTAAGAAATAATAGTAAAAAAAATATAAATAATAAATAATAATAATAAGTGAAACAGGACCGTCGATATACAATTAAAATTAAAGAGACAAATGCCATTTACGATCCGGACTGGATAAATAATAAAAAAATAAAAATTTAAATATAAATAAATATATAAATATAAATATTTTAAAAAATTATTTTTATTTTTTAAAACTATTTTAAAAATGCCTGTTTTCCATTTCCTATTTTAAATGGTTGTTTAAAAAGCATTTTGTATTTTGCATTTTTAAATAGAAAGGTTTTATTTAACTATTTTGCATTTTCTACTTCAAATGGGTTTGGACACTTATTTTGCACATCTCTGGTAGTAACATACTAAATCCATAAGAATATTTCCAAGCATATAAAGAGTATAGAATATTATTTTTTCTTTGTAAAATTCTTTGCAATATTTGTTTGTAATATTTGAATGTTTGATATTTCAAAAATACTAAATAAATTCCGTTCAAATAAAGGCTTGCGGCCTGTTTGCACTTTTTGGCCGATTTTGCTTACTGTCATCCTTACTCCACTCGGTATTCTATAGGTATCCATTCTAGCATCTAGATAGTCCCTCTAATTAGAGTCTGGCCAACTTGCAGTTCTGGCAAAATTCTGCGAGAGAGGAGGATATAAGAGAGAAAGAGAAAGCGATATACATTCATATCTTTTGCTTTCTCTCTTATATCCCTTTCTCTTTCTGTTTCTCTTGCTTTTGCCAAGAAATAGCGAACTAGACTCTGATTAGAGGGACTCTACTGCTCGCGGAGACGAAAGACTCGAGCTCATAGGATGGTATTAGCTGTAAATCATATGAGGTTTCGGTGCGTGTTGCCCTGTGCGTTGTTTTTTAATAAAATTATTAATATTATTATGTTATAGAGTTAAGAGTAACAGTAAATGAAAATGTATGTCAATTGTGTACACATATATTAATAATTCTATTAAAACAACAACACGCACTGGAGTATAGGAACTCTAACACGCACCAAAGCCCCATGATTTACAGCTAATACCATCCCTGAGCCTGAGCTTGAGCGTTTTTCGTCTCCGTGAGCAGCCTAGGATCTAGATGCTACGAACCGAGAGAAGTGGGGATGGCAATAAACAAAACCGGCCAAAATATGCAAACCGGTCGTTAACCTGAATTTATTAATAATAAATTAACATATCTTTTACAGGTCATACAACACTAAAATGCTTTAGCCATTCTGAATGTTTATTCTTTATGTCATGCTTCTATTTATAGCACTTCAAAACAGATATATGTTCAAAATAGATGACTTTAGGATATTCTGGAGCACCGTCCTAACTAAAAGTATGCAAGAAATATTAAAAACACCGATATATTACAATAATTCTCCAGCGATCCAAAGACAAAAAAATGTATACCTATAAATAGTCACGGCAAATCTAATAAAATGTAAAAGACATAGATGTAGTAACTGTAAATAACTTTTACCACTATATTTTTTTTCAACAAAAAAATCGCAAAAAAAATTTTTTGTATTTAACTTGTTTCAAATTTTGTTGCTATATTTTTATTTGTTGATGATCTATTTGTGTGTAAAATATCGTTATATTGGTAGCATTTTTTACCCAAGTAACACATTGCGGTCAAAATGACATTATTTTGACGTCATATTGATCCTATTGATCCAATATTACGTCATTTTTTGGTCAATATGATGTTACTTGGATAATGTTTTTGGTTTTGGGTACATTTTAATCTACATTTTAATTCTCTGTAACGCCATAAGATTACGTGTTAAAACTTGAATATTTAAAAATTGAAAACTTTTTATCTAACAATCTCTCCAGATTCTCCAGAACATCCTTAAAAATCTAAAGTTAGATTTTTCATAATTTGTATAAAGGTACAAACAAGATTGTCACAATAAAATTCTTTAAAATTTTTAAATACGCAATTCTACATCTCAATTTTTGTAATCTTTGAAATTAAAATATAATTAATTTAATATAAATAATTGAAAATACTTTTGATTGCTTAAATAAAATACTAAAAACAAATAAAGAAATAATATTACATTCAAATAATTAATAATGTTATATTTATATGTTCAATTATTTATGCACGGAGAAAATTTTATAGTAAATATTACTATGGTGTCGCACTAGCTGCGGACCATCGAGGAATTTTAAGTTAAATTACTATGTTTATGGTAAAAATTACGTTATTTAATCGTTTTTAAAACAATAATTATAGTATTTTAACTTGAAATTCCTCGATGGTTCGCAGCTAGTGTGACACCATAGTAATATTTACTATAAAATTTTCTCCGTGATGTTTTAAATTTTTTCTGAGTGTAATTTCCGCAAATATATTTCCTATGTATATAATTGTTGCTGTTTTTGCCGTTCTAAATAAGAATAGAAAGAATTCTCTAAGGAATTTTCTTTAATCTTCGTAAGAGCATACAAGAGCGTTATCATGAAAACTTCGCAAAACTCACAAAAATTCAAATGTAGAATTGTATTTAGAAATTTAGAACCGCGCATTATAAAAATATTCTCTGAATTAAGTTAAAGTTTTATCTGAACATGCAAATTTTTCATGTGAAAAGATATATATTTGCACAAATTAATATATTCTTGAATTCCTAAAATCTGTTAGATGGTACAAATCGATGAACACAATCCGCTGGCACCATAAAATAGGCAGCATGAAATCAAAGAATGCTGGTTTAGGAGAAATTACTCAAAGAGACATGGTGCTTACTCAGTACGGTTTTGTTGGATTTATATACAATGCGCCTAACAGTTTTGGATTGTCCAATACACTGGAAGAAAATGAAGCATTTAATCATTTCTGGCGCGTAAATGCTTATATGTTAGGAATCTCTGATAGGTAATGTATATGATAATGTTGAAAAGTGTGTGTATGTGTGTGATTTTTACTAAACAGGTTTAGTAAAAATTACTTTTATTCATTAACATCTCTGAATATAATATATTCTATTATATGTATGTATAATCTCTAATACTTCAAATTTAGACAGAGATATACATCAATTTTAGAATTCTATATTATATAAATATATGTATTAACAAGTGACAAGCAAAAAAGCTTTAAGAGTTCTACGCGGTTGACGGTGCGTAAATTGACGTTATAACAATCTTTAGTTACTAATAATAAGATACATAATAATCATAAATCGATCGTTTCGGCTCCGCTTTGAGCCATCTTCAGCGATGTGGTGACAATTAAATCAAAACGATCTCATGTTCTCCGACGAGAAATAAATGAGTAACTTCAAATTTGGTGGTCTAAAAATAGCGCGAGGAAATTTTCTATAAGAAAATCTAAGTAAAGGTTGGCTATAATGATAATAGTTTATTATTTATATGATCGAAATTAAAATGAGTTATAACTTGAGCAAAAAGAGAAGTAATGTCACTTAATCACCAGCTTAGAGAACGCGAGAATAAGCATTAAAAGTGGTAAAAAAACATCGAGAAACAATACGATTTGTAAGTAGAAAACGCTGTTACAATTGAAATAATGATGCATTTAAAATAAGACATCCCTGATTTCAAATAACAACCGTCTCATCCGGCTGTCAAACAGTGACTAAAGTAAAGTCAGGAAGCAACAAACAAATACACACACACACAACCCAATTCACTATAGAATATTTAAACGATATTGTATAGTAATGTATAGATAAAGTGTTAAGAGTAGGAGAAATTTAAAATTGATAACAAAGGGAATACTAAAGCCAAATTGAATAAACATTTTGAGGTTACGGATAAATAAATAATTTAAAATAATGACTGGTGTGAAATTAAAAAATAACAGTCTAAAAATTAACGGTAGAGCAGATTATAGAGCTAACTTTATTAGTTATTCTTTTTTATCTACAGATTTAACCTGTGTCGCAAAAACGCTAAGGAGACTTCTGAATTATGTCAGAAGCTCAAACAACTCTATGCGACTTATTTAACTGAAGTGTCATCGGAATTTGACGAAATATCGACACACGCTTTAGATGCCTTTTGGTACATCGATATCACGGCGGATAAAGAATCTTTTATGTCGTTCACGTATAAATTACACGATCTCCCATGTAAGTATTCAATTTTTGTTTTAATTACAAATATATTTATATTTCGATAATTTTGATATTTTTTTATTGATATCTTTTTATTGTTTTTGAATATTTAATTCTAATTAATATATTGTCGATAAAAATTAGCACTGTTACTTTTATTAAACCAGAAATTGTTAAAGATATAAAATTAAGATATATATTATTTGTAAGAAAAAATTTTACTAAAATTATTATATATAACTTCTACTTAGTTTTATAATGTTTGCTATAATGACAATTACCTACAGTGAAATTAGATGACTTTTATTTAATTCTTTTCATCAGCATTAATAATATATTTAAAAAAATTTTGTATTAATTGAAAAATTAAAATTTTTATCGAATATAATTAATGTTTCAGATAAAAAGCTTGGATGGTATAGTTGGTTAATTACGAAATATCGTGAGACGATGTTTTATTTGTGTCGTAAGTATTGTACAGATTTGTGTGGCATTTTATTATTGTAATCAAGATGGTCCGCTAATTTATTCTCTATCTTTTTCAGTTGTACCTTATATCGGACCAGTAGCAAAAATATATAATTACTACTTGGTTACATTTATAATTTGGAGTTCTAAAAACTTTCCTATACTTGCCTGGATAAAATTTGGAAAAAATAACGTTCGACTTAATCTATACCCTAAACACTAATAGCCTTAACTTTGCTGACGATTTACAATATCGACCATAGTATAAATATACATATTATACTATGTACATTTATACTATGTCGATATTGTAAATCGTCAGCAAAGTTAAAGCTATTAGATAGACCATAGTATAAATATACATAGTATACTATGTACATTTATACTATGTTGATATTGTAAATCGTCAGCAAAGTTAAAGCTATTAGTGTTTAGAGTCTACAAAGAACAGACCTATAAATATACAGGACATAGGACACACATACACGCACACACACACAGGACATACGTCACTGTGGAGGCTGTTGTATTCTTGGTAGGACAAATTGAAATACGCACACTGAGAGACCCAATTAGTTGATAGAACCAAAATTTTTTTGTTGGCGAGTTTTGTTTTGTTGAATTAAATCACTTGATTTCTGCAAATGATTAAGTAATTTGGAGAAACCAACTTCTTTTGTTGGAAAGTATTTTGTTCCCTTAATCAATATTATTTAAATTTGTGTTGTCCGAAACAAAAATTATTGTTGTAGTTGCGATTCGTCGTTAATTTGTAGCCCAACAAATTATTTATCTCTGTACAACACAATTTACTTTGTTCATTCAAACAAATAGTCCCCGTATTAGGTTGTAGCCAAATTGGATCTTTTGTTCTTTGAACAAAATATTTGGTTCCACATACATATTCTTGCAACAAAATTATTTTGTCTCTATCTTATTATTGTTTAGTGTGTTATTGCGATAAATATTACCACATGCCTTAGTTAGCTAGTTTTTTACTCACCTTTTTCTAGCAAACTTTTAAATTGAGTTACGGAACACACTAGATTTAAGTGCAACACAATAAGATATCTTTTATTTTCTATTACCAAAGACTAATATGTATTCGATTGTGAGAGCCCAAGCTGGGCCAGACTGATTGTACCCTAGTTCATAAGAATTTCCTTGTTTATTGGAAATATATGTAATCCTGACAGTTTATATGGTGTGCAATAAACAGATTAAAAAAAAACATGCTTCAGTTGTCTTGGTACGATGCCCTACACGGAATGAGGGAGGTTCCAGGTTCGAACTCTGGCTGAGGTAATATTTTTTTCGCAATAAATTTAATAATTTAATTTAATTTAAATTAGCGGTTTTTCTACATAACATTATTTCTAAGAGCATACCTAAACCCAATAGTCATATGGCGAACAGCTTTGAATTAGTTAACAAATTAAATGAAACACATATTAATAAGGATTTTACCCTTATATCTTTAGATGTATTCTTTCTATTTACCAACATACCTATAAATTTAGTAATACAAAGCGTTTCTACTAGGTGACCGGATATCTCTAATAATTGTCATATTCCCAAAGAAGAATTTTTGAAAGCTCTAGAATTAATTTTAAACTCAACATATTTTATGTTCGATAAAATTATATATAATAATTATATATATTTTCAAGTGCAGGAGTGGCTCGGCGACAATAAATTTTTAATTCTGGATTGGGGATGAAAATATAAAAATTCTACGTTGATGCCAGTAATGACAAAATCAAAGCCTGCTCCAGAATCGTTACTAAGAAATATCTCGTGTAAATGCACAGGGTCTTGTGAGAAGGCATGTGGCTGTCGACGACTCGGCTTACAATGCTCCCAAATCTGTTTGTCTTGTCAAGGAATGTCTTGCACGAATCGAATGACAATTGACCTTGGAAACGATGAAGTGGACAAAATAGATGATCCCAACTTCGAAGATTTTGAGATCTTCTCCGGACATCAAAATCAAGAAGCTGAGCAAAACAAGGCAGAAAAGGATGAAAGTGACATAGAAGATATTGTAATTCAAGCTGAGCCTATGGATACTGAGGATTGAAATAATTATTCAAGACGCGGATGTTAATTTCCATCAACATCTGCGTGTTGGATAGTTTTAGTGTATCCAAGGAATATCCAAATAATTATCACATCAAAAAAACATATTTTCAATGCTTGTGGATTAGGCCTACTGGGGAAACCACAGAAAAAAAAACGCACCATTGACTTTACCTCAGAGGTGGTGTGGAAAATAGTCAAAAAATGCACTGTCTGTATGTTTGAATAAATGTTATAAATAATATGAATAAATTTTTTAAAAACATTTTTCGAGTTGATATGAGACGACGAGTACAACAAATATAACATGTTTTTCTAATTGTTTATAATAATTTTTAAGTAAACAATTTGTTCATAAATAAGTAAAAATGAGAGAATGTGTTGAAAACGGCTTTGCAACATGGTTCAATAATAATGTGAAAAATTACGTAAATTTTAATAAAAAACAATTATTTTAGTGTAAAACAAGCGTTATCCGACCTGTGCGCAATATTGGATAACTTTGCGCGTCAATAAAAAAATCAGCGTTCGTCGTACGAAAAAAATACAAGGGTCCTTTTTTGTTGCAAATTTCGTCCACAACAAGATGCATACGATAAAATTTGTCTCAAATAAATTCTAAGGCCTGAAAACAGCGAAAAACTAAGACTATTCCAAAAAATCAAATTTTTTGCTTACATAGCTACAAACTAAAGAAAAAAGGTCTAAAAAATCGGTTACACCCTAAAAAGTATTCTTTGTAGTTCTCAGATGATGTGTGATTTTTTGAAATTTTAAATGACGGAAAAAAATCACCGACGCAACATAAAAAAAACGATGAAATCGAGGGTATTCGGGATCCGAGTCTCGGACTTTGACGGCGCGTGCAAGCTAAACGACTGACTTGACGATAAATGTTGTTCAAATCATTATTGTAGATAATTTTACGCTCTACAAAAAAGGTACGTATAATTAGTTACCCTATCTTGCTTAGTTTTCGAGATATTTGAAAAAAGATTTAAAAAATCGCGTTTTTTGTTAATAATATTGTTAATAACTTTGTAATGCGCATGCGCATTGCGAAGCAAAATAAATCCCACTTACAGCACCTCAAATCAAAGCGATTCATGGTGGTTGCAATCTGGGAAGATTAATTGGAAGGTTCGATCTCTAATATGACTGGCCTAATGGTAGATAGAGCGTTTATATTGTCACATCCAAAATTTCATTCAAAAAATATAAAATTTATAATAGACACTCTCTTAAAAAACGACTATTTTTTATCATTTATCTTTAACACAATCAATATACTAGAATTAAGTCTCTCTTTAATAAATGTACACGCAGACAAAATGAACCTTCACCGAGTAATGATAACGAGGAACAACGTATCTGGTTCACTATTCCTTACGTTTCAAACATTGCGGAGAAATTTATAAGCGTAACTAAAGATCTAAATGTTAATCTTTCGTTTTTCAGCCTAAATAAAATGCGAAATTTCATTAGAGTACAGAAAGACACTCTCCCAATCCAATCCAACAAGAACGTAGTTTATAAGATCTCATGTAAAAATTGTGATGTTTCTTACGTCGGGCAAACGATGAGACAATTAAAAACCAGAATTTCCGAACATCAAAATCACATCCATAGAAATACTACCAATCTCTGTTATTACAGAACATAGAATTAATTTCGACCATGAATTTGATTGGGAGAATGTCGAAATACACTAGACAGAGAAAAATACTAGACAGAGATTTGATATTTAAAGAAATTATCTAAGAATTATATTTGTATTTATTAAATTTGTATATATTATACTCGATTATTCTTCGAGCTCAAAGAGAATAATCGACTGTGATTGGTCTATTTTCTTACGGCCGTGAATATTTGATAATCTACATATATTTCACGTAAATTAACGCCGAGAGAGTCGCGTTTTTCATCGTCTTAATAATACATTAATAATACAGTTTTACATTCGCGAGATTTACGAGCTCGATATCTGTGCGTGCAATATTTAATTTTGTAATTATATTTTCAATTAATTTCAACTGCGTGTCTTCTAATCACTAGCCGTTCGCTTGACTCGCGTAGGATCGCGCGACGTTGTTGTCGACGTCTTCGAAGATTTCGTCGCTATTCACGTAACGCAATAAACACAAAACGAATCGAATTGAAATAAAATAAAATGTTTGTGCGCTAAATAAATATACGTAAATATATCTTCGCGGAACGGAAGAATCATTCTGATGTAAATTATTTCAAAATTATTTTATTAAACTATATTGTACATTGTACATATATAAAAATAATTTTTTTTTAATTTCACAGTTTCTCTCTGTTTTTTCGAGGGAACGCAAGAAGAAGCATCGTCCCATCGAGGCAGGTGCCGGCGGAACAACATGCGGTAAATATGTAGATGGTCTTTTATGCAGAAGAGTTATCCACTTTTCAATTGGATAGTTAGTCAGAAATTAAAAATTAGAAAAAAAAAGTTTTATTTTAAAAATTCTATAGAAGCTCTTTTGTATTCAATAGACAGAGTATATTCTTAAAAAATTACATAATTATTTCATTAAATTTGCTTAATTAACTAAAATATCAACCAAAATTCAGTGTTCAATAATTATTTTTTGAAATATTTATTGACTGTCTCTTTGTTTTCTGTTCTGTTTGGATTTTATATTTGTTTGTTATAGAATCATCGTAGCGACGTTGCAGAATAACTTCGCTGTTGCGCATCGTACGGTGAATGATGATTACAATTTATTAATATCAATTAATATTAATTTATAAAAATTTAATTTTTAATTAAGGAAGCAAAAATTATACTATGCGTAAGGAATTGGGATGATCAAAGTAATTATGTAGATATATTTCAATATAAGAAATAAGATTTAACAATATACATGCGTTACATGTCACGTGCGTAAATTAAGAAGTAGTAAAAAATACAAATGTAATTAATATAAAACCAAATAGATAGATATAAGACAAATTAGATCAAAATTGCCAAAATTCCTTTATAGAGGAAGCTTTGTGATAGTAAAAAAAAATGTTTCGAGATTTTGATGGAAATAGGTTTAGAATGTTCCAAAATGTCGAGAAATCATATTAATAGAAAATGTCCGGAAGTATGTATGTATATGTGTGCGTGTATGTGTGGGTGTGTGTGTACGGCTTTTTTGTACACGCATCTACTTCTACAATTTTTTAGATACCGGGTTGAAATTTTGCACACAAATAGAGTATCATAGAAAGTATGTTCTCCTTTAATTTTATTAAAATCTGTCGACTGGTATGGATTTTAAGGGGATTTTTATTTTTTAGAAAAGTGCGTTTTACGCTGCAGCTTTCTCAATATTTAAGATATCGATTTATTTCTAATTTTATTATATTCTTCAGTCTTTTCTATCCCTATGTCATATATAATTTTTTAAGATTTGGATAATCAGTTCTTGAGTTACAGACGTTTGAAATTTTGGAGAATCCATATATACATAGAAGCCTTATAAAGTTTTGTCTAATCAACTAAATCTTAAAAAATTATATATGAAATAGAGGTAGAAAAGACTGAAGAATATAATAAAATTAAAAATAGACCAATATCTCAAATATTGAGAAAATCCAGACAATTAAGCCAATTAAGGAAATTTATTATTTCCTAATTTTATTAATAAAAGCAATTTTTATATATTTAACAAATTATTTTAAAGTAGAAATAAAAAACTATTGTAATAGTCTAACATATATTAGTCGCAATAAAGATTATTATCACAATAAAAAAGTGCAAGTATTTCTAGACGTGATGGCTTAATTACTTTAAGAAAAATGCTAAATTACTAAAATTAACAGTTTGCACTATTTGTTACAATTATACCTGTTTCTGTTTTACAATTGGGTACGTTATATGGCCAATCACAGACCGTTGTAACTGGATTAAAAGCTGTTCCAGGACCACAGTTCATCACATAAGTAACACCGTTTGCACATTGAAGGAACTTTTTGCATGTCTCCGGATGGGGCAATAGTCCGGTGAAATCCACAGGACACGTAATTTTTTTAACTTCAATATATTGCGCTTTGTTGTGTTCAGATTTTACATTTGAATGTGTAAGTGGAATTTTTTCATCAGATTTAAAAATATCTGTATAATAAAACAGATTTAAAAAATTTTTATTACACGATAAAAAAAACGAATTATTTCTTCTAGTAAGAAATCACTTAATGCTACCTTCGCAACCTTTTACATTATGCGGCCAATCGCACACACCAATAGCAGGGTTGAAAACCGTTCCAGGACCGTAATTCATAATATAAGTTGCACTGTGCGCGCATTGTAAAAATTTCGTGCGATCTCCATCCTGTGGTAACAATTAACCGATCAAATAAGGTGGACATTTTGGTTCCTGTATCAAATACCAAATAAATAGATAAAGTAGAGTGAAAGACAAAATTAAATTTCGATTTATGATAAATAATAATACATTTTCAAAAAACGCACTCGTAATTTTTGTAATTTTCGATTAATTTGGAAATCAGAATCTGGCTCCCTGAAATACACGGATTTGTCTTCGTAGCATTTTACTTTATGCGGAAAATCGAATTCTAGAGTATCAGGATTAAAGTGAGGGCCTGGAGCGCATGGTTGGAAAAATGCACGACCCTTCCAACAATTGACGAAAAATTTGCAATCTAGTGGATAAACAAATTGCCCTGTAGAATTGTCATCGGGACTGAACATCCAATCAAGAATTATATCGAGCCACTTTGTGCTGTGATTTTTGTGAAAGAAGTAAATTTTCCTTTCGTGGTTTCTATGTAAACAGACAAAGCCAATATATCTATAATGCAAACATTTAATAAATGTTATCAAGTGAAGATTGAAATAAATTTAAAGAACTTTCAGATGTTTTTTAAATTTTTTTCTAAAATTTGATCATATAAATTTTTTCTTTTATTTAAAACTTTGAGATCATATATAATATATAATATGAAACCATCTTATGTCTGTGTGTCAATAAAGATATATTGAATGGAATTATTATATTATGTAATCTTGAATGTATAAATACAATATTGTAACGACTAACGTATAACAAAATTCTGCGGTGAACATCCCGTTTAGGGAATC